ACACCTCGCTTCCCCCTTTCTCTTCCTTGCGTTGTCCCTTCCTTGCGCCCCTTCCTCGCTCCATTTCAACTCTTCCCCACTAATCACCTTCTTCCATCTCTTCCTTGCTTTTCCTGCCCTCTTCTCCGTCGTCTGTCATTACTTCTTCTTCTCCTCTTCTCCCATCCCCCCCTGTCTTACCATCATCTATAAGAGGGCCGCAGGTAGCCTAGAGTTGCGTTGGCGGCGGTGGCGGTGGCCTGGTCGGCATCGCGCTAACGAGGCGAGTTATAACGAGCGGACGTGAGCCGCTAATTAGCCTGTATTATTGTTCGGGGGAGTAGGAAGCGATGATAGAGTGACGTGAAAACATGTTTGCTGATTATATTCTCGCCCTGCTTATTTACGCGCTGCTGACGTGCAGAAGCCGAGAGAGATGAGAGAGACGGGAGAAGGAGAGAGAGGACGACGAAGAGAGAGGCGAGCAGAGAGATGAGAAGGAGAGGAGGGAGAGAGAGAGACGCGACTGCGAGCAATGCGAGCGAGCGAGAGCAAGGAGGAGGATTAAGAGCATAGTGTCGCGGGCGAGAGAGAGCAGAGACGCAGCAGATAGAGAGAGCGCAGAGAGAAGACGAGAGAGAGGAGAGAGAGAGAGAGAGAGAGTGAGAGATAGAAGATGATAAGACGAGAGTTAGACGCGAGGAGAGTGAGAGAGAGAGAGAGACGAAGAGACGAGAGAGAGAGGAGAGAGACGAGAAGAGATGAGAGAGAGAGCACGCGCGCCGCTTTCATTGAGCTGAACAGACGCACGTCCGTCGTCAGTAACGCTGGGTCAAGCCACAGCGTATATTAAGTTCTAATCTCACATCAACACATCGCCAAATATAGATATAGCGTTATAGCTGTCTAAATACATGAGTTAGTACGGTAGGATTCGCTAAGATATGCAAGATATAGTATAGAGGAAGAGTGGGCTATAGCCATATAGCGAGGTATCAGCCACTGTCAAGAAATGAAACCCAGCGTCGCGAGCCAGAAGAGTGGATGGGCGCTGCGAGGTGGAGAAGGGGACGGAAGAGAGCATGGCGACATGTATCGTGATTCGCAATAGATGTTGCGCCAACGCTCACACGCAAATATTAAAGTTTGAACTTGTCACCGAAATCTGCGACGCCTTCGTGAATTATCCAGGACGCGCTGCTGCGGACCTGCTGCAGAG